TTGAAAGGACTGCGAGGCTCACGTGATTACTTGCACTAGATCAAGAGATATTTAGCAATTCCTAGAAAGAGTATGTCAATATATCGGTTGTTTTTCATTCTACGACAGCCATTATTGAGTAATCATGTTAGCACGTTTTTCTACATTTTAATTTTTTATCAATAATATTACATTTTGCTTTGACTTTTATTTATTAATATATAAACTCTACTATTGAAATGATTTGTTTCAAAATTATTGTTTGTTTAATGGTAAACCGATATAACCGTAAATCAAGAACATTTATTAGTATGTACAGTACAAGATAAATACAAATGACAACCCATGCAGTAAGGGGTTCTGCCAAAATGATTTAAGTAATATCACATGGATGGAAACAAATCAATGGAAATGTGATGCAAATTAGAACTGTACAAAAATAATATAATAAAAAAAATATGGTTATAAAACCAAGCACTCCTAAAATATTTTAAATTCTAATCAAGATATCATTTAATTGTAAACTTTACACAAAAATAACAATAAAGAAAAATATATTTTAATAAGGTTTACTTGAGTGCTTTTTTTTTTTTAAGTTGCACCAATTATTCTGTGCTGATCAGAAAGTTCGAATATGTGATAATACGTTTGTAACCTCATTACAGTGTATAGCATTGCAGTACATTTTGACAATTTAAAATAAAGTAAAAATTAATCTAATAATAACAAATATAGAAGCATGTCAAATACATTTTATTTTATTTTTTTACAGTGGAAATATATAAAGCTATGTAGGGTGTATTCACTAAACAGGGATTGTGGTGAATTGACAAGGGGATTGATAATTAAAGACCAAGATAGCTAAAACATTCAAAGGGTAGTTGTTTGACTTTTTTAAATACAGCTATTTTGGTCCATGTTTTTACAACTCTCTCAACACAATTTTGAATAAATTCAAACACATTATTATGACAAACCATATTAAAGTTAAAAAAGCACTCCACTTGCACAGTTTTTTGTACAAACTGTAAAGTGGTATTATTGTTACCGTAGATAAAACAGATGTAACATTAATAATGGGCCAAATGTTGTAAATATGTATTAGAGAACTGCATTAAAATTGATAGCAATTAATTGCAATTACCCCCAACACTCACTCATTAAATCATCATTTATTTCAAATAATTCTGAAAATGCATCTTGTCTTTGTATTTGCAGTTGGTATTGAGATTGATGGACATTTGGATACTGATTCAGATACTGATGGTAAGTGTAGAAAAAGTATGAGATGTTTTTGTATGTGTGTAATTCTAACACCATAATCGCTACAGCATGCTTTAGTGGTAATGATGTCAGGAGTCGTCTGGCTACAGCATGCTTTAGTGGTAATACACTCAGGGGAGAGTGCTCCCTCATGTGCCCGGAAGCCTGCCCGCCCGGTGACCGGCCACCCAGCAACACCACTGGACCCCAAGAAATCCCCTCAGTACTCCCAAAGGTAGGGATGCTGGGGGATTAAATTTAAAAAAAAGTGTGTGTTAGTGTTAGAGTGTGTGTGTGTGTTAGAGTGTGTGTGTTATAGAGTGTGTGTGTGTGTGTGTTTGAGTGTGTGTGTTCGTGTTAGTGTGTATGTGTGTGTGTTAATGTGTGTGTGTTAGAGTGTGTGTGTTAGTGAGTGTGTGTTAGAGTATGTGTGTGTGTGTTAGAGTGTGTGTGTGTGTGTGCTAGAGTGTGTGTGTGTGTGTGTTAGTGAGTGTGTGTGTGTTAGTGTGTGTGTGTGTTAGAGTGTGTGTGTTAGTGTTAGATTGTGTGTTAGTGTGTGTGTGTGTGTGTGTTAGTGTTAGTTTTTGTGTCAGTGTGTGTGTTAGTTTGTGTGTGTCAGTAAGTGTGTTACTGTGTGTGTGTTACTGAGTGTGTTAGTTTGTGTGCGTCTGTTAGTGAGTCTGTTTGGTGTCTGTTAGTGAGTGTGTGTTTTGTAAGTGAGTGTGTATGTGTCTGTCTGTCTGTCAGTGAGTGTGTATGTATGTCTGTCACTGAGTATGTGTCTGTCAGTAAATGTGTGTCTGTTAGCTAGTGTGTATGCAGCTGTTTGTGAGAGTGTGTGTGTGTGTCTTCAGCACTTACCTTTCTCCAGCACCGGACTCCCTTGGCGCTGGGGATCCCTCCTCCCCGATCCGCCTCTCAGCTCCGAATGCGCATGCGCGGCAAGAGCCGCGTGCGTATTCAAACCGCCCATAGGAAAGCATTACTCAATGAGACAGCCACAAGAGGCTGGATTAACCCTCAGTGAAACATAGCAGTTTCTCTGAAACTGCTATGTTTTCAGCTGCAGGGTTAAAACTAGAGGGACCTGGTACCCAGACCACTTCATTGAGCTGATGTGGTCCTTTAAGTGTATGTGTATCTGCATGCACTGGCATACATACCGCAGTCGCAGGGGTCGCAGCCCTGCGACTCCTGCGACCAGGTGCCTGCCGCCATGTGTTGTGGCCCCGGCCCGCGCTGAGTAAGCACGGGGGTGGAGCCCCGGTTCAGTTTTCGCACCAAGGGGCCCTATGGGTTGTGTGTACGCCACTGATCTGAATGTAAACTGCCAAACCATTTAAATGAACTTTAAATTGATCATTTTGTTATTGGATATTTTTAAAACAATTTAGTAGATATACCCACCATAGAAAACATTTAAATGTATTTTTTCCTGCATGTTTTCTTTGCTGTATTTGAAAAAAGACAGACTCTCCTTGAAAAGTCTTTGTGCTAGAGCATTGAGCGAGTGTGTCCACGTTCATTGAGAAGAAGGGAAAGCTGGTGGCGCATACTAGTCCAGCGTGTCTCCTACGTCTTTTAGCCTGTGGTGCTAACAGAAGCAGGAGATAACCGTCCTCACTGTCTTATTCACACCAGGAATGTTTTTAATGCAAGTATAAAAGTGCCAATATCTATCAAAATCTGTACTTTTATAAATGGTCACAGTACAACAGACTTCAGCTAACTTCAGCCTAATATCAATGACATTCCAGCCTTTTACTTAAAGGAACACTCCAGACTCCCAAAGCACATTCGCTTGCTCAAATGCTTTTTGTGTGAAGAGTGTGTCCTCTTAACATTTTACAAAAAGTGCAGATAGCAAACTGTACCTGCTATAAATTAAGCTTATTACATCCCCCTTGCTGTCAATCAGACAATTGGTCAAGTTAGTTCCTGGTTGTTTAGCTTAGTGGTGGAACTCATGCACATACCTTGCAAGGATTTTCTCATTGAGCTACATTGGGAAGTCTGCAATTAAACAGCCACATAAAGTCTCAGCTGGGACTAGTAGAAGAAGTAGAAGAGGACTTTCAAGTCTTCAGGAAAGAGATTTGCAGCTTTTGCAAGGTTTTTTAAGTAGAATATCTACTAAATGGTGATGTTTATATATGTAATTTTGGCAGTATAGTATCACTTAAAGACGTGGAAAAATAGATTTTAATAAAAGGAATGGAACATTTTAGCTACGAAGAAAGGTTAACAAATGTAAACCTCTTTAGTTTAGAGAAAGGTCACCTCAGAGGGGATATGATAAAATTATACAAATATATCTGGGGCTAATACAAACCATTGTGTGGAAATCTATTCACAAACAGGACTTTACATAGGACACATGGTTATGAGTTTAGACTGGCAGAAAAAGGATTTAGTCTAAGGCAAATTAAAGGTTTTTTTTTACCGTAAGAACAATAAGGATGTGGAATTCTCTGCCTGAAGAAGTGGTTTTATCAGTCCTTACAGATGTTTAAACAGCAACTGGATGCATACTTGCAAACACAGAATATCCAGTGATATAATTTATCAACTGTAGATAACAGCTTCTTGATCCAAGGATAAATCTGCACCAATCAGTGTGTCTTCCATACAGCCACTAGAGACACTTCCACCTTGAGAACTGAGTTAAAATGCTGCCCCTAGAGAAGCATTTGATTGGTGCATGTGCAACGATTCTCTGCACATGAAAACTAGCCTTCCAAAGCATTGGATTGGCTGACATCATCAAGACTCATGACCTCATTATAGCATTCAAAATACTAGAGAGACAATAGTGAGGTGTTCTTATTGTGTTACAGGTTCCATTATTTTTAGTCTTTTATATGTTCATGACTAATTCCATGGTGAACAAATGTATTCAAATGCATAATAATTGCATAATAATTGAAGATTATATTAGCTTTAGTGTACTAATAATCTTAATTTTAGTAATGACAGGAGGCGAATATTTGCATATCTTTCTTTACTCAAAACTCCAGCAGCATAGTAACATAAACAACCAATCAGAAAAAAGATATAATGCCCATAAAAGGCCCTGTCTATGACATCACTTCCTCTTTCTTTGAAGCGAAACAATAAATAACAACAAGAGACATAATCATATTACGTCAACAGTTCAACAACATATTAGAATATCCAACTCCATTAGTTCCGCGATGCAGAGGTATGGAAGGTGAATCTTTGTCTCGATGAGAAGACGTTCACGCTGCAAGAAAAAGAAAAAGGTGAAAGGTATCTGGCGTGATAACTTGTCCGCATACAATAAGCATTAAGCATCTGATATACCAACGAACATTAGAATGTGAAACATATCAATATATATTTATTCTAACGCAATGATATTTAAGAATATATAAACACAACATAATGCAAGGTTCATGTCTAGTATTCAGCCAATACAAGACCCACAAGTTACAGGTCTAAGTAGCAAACATACAAACCATACGTACTTACCTTCCTGAACATAAAGGACATATTCTGTTCAACACGAGAAACATGGGAGGGATTCTATAGGGTGGGAAATATTCGCCTCCTGTCATTACTAAAATTAAGATTATTAGTACACTAAAGCTAATATAATCTTCAATTTTACCACATGACAGGAGGCTTCATATTTGCATTTTTAAAGCTTTGAATTGACCAATGTGAAGGAAGCATGAGATGTTTGCCGAAAATAGAACGTTCTAAACGTACTCTCTCGCGCTCAGTCCGCGCAGCGTATAATGTCGGCTAGGGAAGCGTCGGCCGAAAAGGTTTGTGAGGCCGCCGCTCCCCTGACCGAGTGGGCTCCGAAACAAGGTTCGACGCTAAAGACAAAAACCAGCGGACCCATCTGGCCAGTGTTGCGGTAGACACCGGTCCATGAGGGTTCACGTAAGAAGTCAGAAGGTGATCCGTCGAATGAGTTCGAAGGGGGTAGAGATATTGGTGTACCCCATTAGCGTTCTGACCACGCATAGTGAGGCGTCTGACACAAAGCATGGGTATGACTCTGAAGACGAAACAGACTTAGTTCATCTCGACATGGTAAAGGTAACCCCGTCTGGTGTGAGAGAGAAACCATCCATATCGCAAGCCCTAACGTCCGCCACCGTCTAAATGAGGCGAGGCATAATAAGAGGGCTAGTTTGGCTGAAAGTTGCTTCAGTGACAAACAAGGATTGTCCGGCCATTCCCTAAGGAATCTCAGCACCACATCCACCTGCCAGAGGCGTGAATATTTGGGTGCAGGGATCTCGACAATTCGACACCCCACAGTAGTCGACAAACCAGTGTATCTTGACCTACTGGTCTGCTCTGTACCGGAACGTGCGCCGCCAATATCTGCGTATATCGGCGGATCTGATCACGTTGAGGGATCGATATGACCGACCCAACGAGACCAGGTGTGACGGATAGTTGAGGGTCAGTGGGACAGGTGCGGTAAAGGGATCGGAATCCCTTTCCACACACCACTCACTCCAGGCCGACCAGGCAGAAATATAGCCTTTCCTGGTGCCGGGAGCCTATGAGTCCCATAGGAGGTCTTAGTTGATGCAATAGGTTGTGAACTGACCAGGAGCCCCTGAAGCCGTCCAGGCAACTAGTGCCAGTTGTCCTTCCATGACAAGGGAGTGGGCTTCCCCTCGAGGTCCCGTCAGAAGTATAGGGAAGGTAGGGAGTAGTAGAGGGTCTCCGCGAGACATCTCCAGGCGATCCGGGAAATCACGGTTGGCCCTGCCCGAGGGGTATCATGAGCAGGAGCGATATCTTGTGGGTGTGTGTGGGGGTTCATCCATCGCCCCGTATCCGAAGGAAGAGTCAAAGATCGTTTTGCCAATCCAAGTTTGTATGTGAAGTAATCACCATCGAAATTCCATCCTCACTTCCGCTGACAGTGGGATCCAGTGGTCGTATGAGTGACCGGTGCGTACGTATCTCACCATCAGTCGTAGTGGGCCAGGGAATAACGCTTGTATGGAGAGGGGAGAGGAATCTCACAATCCGACAGCTATCCTTATAGAGGCGCTCTTTGCCGTAGACGGACGCGGAACTTAGTTCTCCAAGCCGATGTCGAAACCGAGGAACTGGCCCGATTCATATGGAGAAGCGATCTTTGTCTGTGTACAACAAAAAACCCATGGAGTCCCGAAAGTGAACGACAAAATTTGTCTGCAAACGTAGCCTGGATTCGTAAAGAATCAGCAAGTCTTCCAGGTATACGAGGCATCGCACGCCCAAATTTACGGATGTGTGCCCTCACTGGTTACAGTAGGTTCGCGAGCACCACGGAGTCGTAAACTGCCGTGTTTGTCCTCACCATTGGAATCGGAGGAAAACTTCGGCAGTCCAGGGCAACGGGTACTGACAAGCGTGCGTCCTTGAGGTCCAGATGTGTAAACCAGTCGTTATCGCCTAGGAGGTCTTGTAGAAGACGAATTTCCTCCATCTTGCAGCATTTGTATACCATGTAGGAGTTCCATTGATGTAGTCTCCTGGCTTCTTCTTGACCAGGAAAAATTTGCTGGGGAAGCCTTCCCCTCCGGTGCATGTTGAATTGCGCCCCTCCTGAAGAGGGTGCAGATTTTCTTGTCCACGAGGCGTTCCTGTTCCGCCAGCGTGCGTAATGGAGGTGAAGGGGCGACCTGCACAGCTGTGATAAAACTCTATGACATAGCCTTGTACTGTCTGGAGAACCCAGGTGACTTTGGTAGTCGTCTCCCAATTCTGTAAAACAGAGACAGGTTGCCGGTCATAATATTGGAAACAGTTAGTTATGTAGGTTGACACACTAGTAGATGAAGCGGATGGGTTCCTTTGTGTATTAGATGGGAGAAATATGAGGACCGTGTATACGATCTGGAACCTGTCGCCCAGAAGCGGCTGGTGGCTCGGTTCAGTTACCGACCAGTCCTCCCAGAAACACCTTTCCCCGTAGGGTTGTGGAAGACTTGTTTTAGCCAGGTCTGGGTTTAATTTAGTGTGGTGAATAAATTCACGTGTTTCTTGAATACTGCAATGAACACTACGTCGAATAGTAGGCCTTGTGCTTTGGGCCGAATTCTTGTCGTTCCTAAGTCCAATAGTGTGTTGTCGATGCGGCCAAGTACAGATTTGCGTCTGTCGGCGCATAGTGCGTCATTTACGTTGCCCAGGAGGCATATCGAGCATTAAGACCGTTCTTTGGAGGTGGTAGGGTTGAGTTGTGTACCCTGGGGTAACTCGGTCTTGAGGCGTGCGCATCCTTCCATCCCCCGAGGGTTGCGCAGCCAATAGTGTTCGTCCAGGAACGTTCCGTCTTCGGCTACTCTGGTTTAGTGCCGTTACAGTTATCTCTGCCTCAGCCGCCGTCCCAGAGTAAGGTTTCCCTAACGTACTTCGAGGAAGTGTGGGGAAGGTCTTGCCGTTCCATTTCCTCAGACGGTGGGCTGTCTTCGTGTCGCTCATCTACCATGTCCAAAGTACGTGGTGGGTAATAGTCTTCTTGGTCGGAAGATTGTGGCGGACGGGGTTTGGATTCCCGGTGCTCCGCCTATTTGGTCTGTTCGATGGGCGTCTTGCCCTTGACCTTAGTGGCAGGGGGCTGGAGCCCTTCCCTTGCCATTTTGACTTGAAGGCTTGTGGGCCTGAGGTCTCCATCAAGCGGTGTGGGGTAGAGTTCATAACAGAACCTTCTCCACTGAGGCTGTTACTGTGGCGTGTATCGTTGCCTAGAAATCTTGGGAACGTTGAGAGTGTCCACCATGACTCGTTCCCGTCCTGTTGTGAGATAGTGTGAGGGTCAGCACATAGGGGTGTTAGACTCCTGGTAGAACTGGGGATCACCCAGGTAAAAACAGTTTGAATTGCCTGCTTTAGTATGTCTGAGAGTATGAATACTCGTGCCAAGTGTAGAGGGGTCACCTCTATTAGTTTAATCTGGCTACTGAGAGTCGTGGTGCAGGCGGTGACTGGTAGTGGTGTCGGTCTGGCTAGCCGGGTTCACCACAAATGTACGCCAGAGCTGTATGCACGGTTTTTAACTATACAGGCTTAGTATATAGGCGCATGGGGCCTGTCTCCATAAGGTCTGCAGCCGCAGGACCCATGTCTATTAGGCTGGGTTCATCCCAGGTGGTGTGCCATGGTAACCCAGAGGACACCCATATTATAATTATTGGCACCTTACAAGCATTGCATGCATATCTGGGGGTCATCCCAGGTGGTGTGCCATGAAAAATTACCCAGAGGACACCCACGTTCAATATGTACACTAGGCACAGTAAATATACATATATGTATCCCTGTGAAGGGTACACCGCAATACACTCAGTTTTCTTAGTGATCCTGCCGTCAAAACGCATCCGGCATGGTATTGTTGCTTTAATGTAAAACTGACAGGCAGTGTGGCGTAGGCCTCCGTGCATATGATCGGGGTTCACCCCGGGTGGTGTGCCATGGTAGCCCAGAGGACACCCACATCAAAGGTAATGGTCTGTCAGTGACCTTGCATGCATATCTGGGGGGTTACCCCAGGTGGTGTGCCATGAAAAAATACCCAGAGGACACCCACATAAATTTGCACCGTCAGGTACAGTAATATAATATGACCCTCTGTAGGGTACAATAATATAATATAATATGCCCTTTGTAGGGTACAGTAACACAATATGCCCTTCGTAGGCTACAGTGATATAGTTGATCTTGTTATAGGCACAGTATATGTTTTGTATAACGACTGTGATATTGTACGGCTTCACAATAATACATAGATTGTGTGCCTGCTCAACATATAATCATCCAGTGTAAGGCACCATGAGAGATATATCCATGAGAATAAAATATAATAATTGTATCAATAAATGAATGTGCCCAGAGAGGGGGACCCCTGAAGGGGTTAATCCAGATGCAGGGCGCGGTGATCAGGTGATTCCTGTAGGGTATAGAAATATAGTATGACCCTGTGCAGGGTATAGTAATATGGTATGACCCTGTACCTAACTCTGATCTTGTGGAGAGTATAACAGTATATAGTATAACCCTAATTGGGGTATATTAACTGGTATGACCCTAAGCAGGGTATAGAGACATAGAGGTCTTGAGCTGGCAACAAAAAGGGGGTGCTTGTCTCTTTTAATTCATATATTGTAAATGGGCAGCACAGCAGGCAGGCACTGGGCAAAAATATCACCTGCTACACTAATACCCTCCCTAGTACACACTAGGGAGGGTATACAGATGTGGAGCCCGGCGGTCGGGTGAGTTACCGATCCGCCGGGCAAGCGGGGAAGGCGGCCGTCCGGTATCTCGCGAGCCGCGAGATCCAAGATGGCCGCCGCCCGCGTGTGAAGGTGCGCCGCGATCGACCGCGCGGCGCCGGAACGAAAAAAAAGGGGGGAAACGCACACAGCACTGTTCCCAGTCCCCCTCCACCTGTCCCCCTACCGGCCCCCACGAAGAAAAACAGGAAACCGGCCCGCGGCGCGCGGCACTGACAGCCGTGCTCGCGGGTATCGGCCGTGGAAAGTAATAGGGGGGGGGCCTAAAACCGTGCAGGGACAGGGATAAGGGGACCCGAAAATAAACCCACGAAAAATAAGTAAATAAAAAACAGTAAATTAAAACAATACAGTAAATGAAACAATACAATCAAATATATAGTGAAAACAAAACCAAAAATATGTGAAAACGAAAAAAACAATGTATATAAGCAATTGCCAGAGAGGCAAAATACTCTGACCTGATGTTGGCTGGAGCAGCAAAGAAAGAGGAAGTGATGTCATAGACAGGGCCTTTTATGGGCATTATATCTTTTTTCTGATTGGTTGTTTATGTTACTATGCTGCTGGAGTTTTGAGTAAAGAAAGATATGCAAATATGAAGCCTCCTGTCATGTGGTAAAATTTATTTTCAGAAACCTGGAAATATATGTATGTTTATTCATGTACACCTTTACGTATCTGAGATGTAATCAAGATTAAGAACTACAGAGTAGTAAACATTCCAAGAATAAATGCAACTGTTATTGCAAAACAACAGTATCTTTAATTATGGCTAAGTAGATCTAGTTGTCATTGTCATGTTGCTTTTTGAAATGCTTTTAACACAATGATAAAAGAAAAGCAACACTGCTATCAGCTATGATTATGATTCCTGCTTACTATTTCTTACTACATGGTTTATTATAAGTGCTAGCCAAAGACTCGAGCATAATTTGTCAAAGCAAATTGCTAATATATTCATCATTCTCCTTAAAAATCTGCCAATTCTTGAAAATACAAAACCAAACTGGTGGTCAGACAGTTATAAATGTAAGAGGCTGTTTTGCTCCATCATTATTTTCAGTTAATTAATTTCACTTACTAATTGAACTATCTACGCCGGTTGCTACTCGCTACTCGCTAAAGTGCCTGTTGCCTCTGTCAGCATGTAGCAGCTGTTTACACATTGTCAAATTTCACAAACATCGACAGGGAGTTACCAGCTGCTGTTACTTAAAGCATGTCACTGATTATCAGTTAATGGCTCTCATTCTCTATGATAGCTGCAAACCACTACTTAGCATCTAATTTCCGACTGATTTCCTGGTGTCACCCTGTCTCTACTGTTTAAGGTTGCCACTAACCCTAACCTTAAATGAGGAAGCAGAAATTAACCTTTAGAAGTCACATTTATATGTACATGGCATAGCACAAATAGTTCAATAAATTGCATACACTGTTGCTATCTCCTAATAATTCAATCACATGGAGAATTATGCATGCTCAGAGTGAGCCATTTTTATTGTTACGGTGTGGTTGCAATGCTGACAAATTTCGCAGCATGTATTTCTTTTCTGTTACTTACCAACGAGTGGCTAATCTGTGACTGGCTGGGACATAATCTACTGCCATGTAAGCCTGCTTTAATGACTCATTTCCAAGATGCGGGGGTAGCAGATGTGCCATTTATACTCTTTGTAGCTTCAGTGAGTGAATGTTGTGTGCATTTCTGTGGAGTGTCAGTGTGTGAATGTATGATGCATTTATGTATCAGTTTGTGTGCATGCAGTTTGGCTGTAGTGTGTGCAGGCAGTATGATACTGTTATGGAGTGAACATGTATGTAAAACTAACAGGCACAGAAACACATACTAATAGATATCTCATATCATATCTGATAGGTCTACTGCTGCTTCTTTATGTCTTGGTGTGCTACAATTCTCCCACACTCCCAGACTCAACTGTGAGGTGTTGGCATCCTACTCTCCCCCAATGTACCTTTTAACCAGTCTTACCTGCCCCAGCCTTATATTTCCCTCCCTTTGAAGTTCACACTGTCCTTCTATTTAAACCCATGCCTTTAAGAATTGCCATCATTTATCCTCCCCCCCGGTCATCCCAGGCTATTCCTTACAGTTTTCTTTCTGACGACTCCACTTCATCTCCTCCAACATTCTTTCATACTTGGGGACTTTAATATCCCAATCAACAACCATAACTGTCGATATGTCTCTTGACTGCTTTCTAGTTTTACGCAATGGTCTAACTCAGAAACTCATACAGCAGGAGACACTCGTAATCTCATCTGCACCAATCTCTGTAATGCCTCTAAACTCTCCTATGTTCCATTTCCTCTATCTGACAACATCTGCTGAACTTTGACATCAGCATACCCCATACCCAAATTATACCACCCGCAGTACATCAGTCTCACAGAAACCTCCATTGTCTTGACCTACAGTGACTCTCCACCAACCTTCAAACTCTGCTTTTACCTAGCTAAAACCTCACCTGCCCAAGCTCTGCAACCTCCCTCTACATTCCACTCTCTCCTCTCAACTAGGTATCATGGAATCCCCTATGTTAAATGTAGCAAGTGCCCCCAGTTACAACCTTGGCACACCAAGCTTACCTGGTACAAAAATGCTCCAAAACTGCTGAAGGCTGCTGGAGAAAGTGTCATTCTGTATCTGACTTCCTCCACTATAAATTTTTGCTACGCTCATCCAGCATGGCTCTTTACTCTGCAAAATAAGACTACTTTTAATACCCTCATAACCACACCCTCCCACAAACCCAAATGCCTCTTTTGCACTTTTAACTCTTTTCTTTGCCCTGTTGCTTCTCCTTCTCCTACAACTTGACTGCTACAAACTTTGCTACTCACTTCCCTGAGAAGATTTCTACAATCAAGCAAGAGATCTCTCTCCTTCCCCTACCAATACTATCACCAACCCCACTCCCTCTGCTCTGCTCCGGTCCTCCTGCCCTACAATATGTTCCCTCGATCCTATTCCATCACATCTCATAAACACTTTGTCTTTTTCTCTTGCTCTGCCTTTCACTTATATATTCAATTTCTCCCTCTACGATGGCATATTTCCTTCACCCTTCAACCATGCATCCGTAACCCGATTCAGAAAAAGCCCAACCTTGACCCTAACTCTTCAACTTGTCTGGTTACAAATACTTGTCTGTTAGTTCACCTATTGTACTCTATGTAATTTGTGCACTTTATAAATAATAATAAAACTAATAATAATAATTGAGTGTCATCTGGGCTCCCCCTCCAACAAAAGAAGCCTGCACTGACTGGGTGAGGGAGAACTTTGATCTGCCTCACCAGGTCTCTTCTCTGTCACTGTTACTGATTCATGGTGTACCAGTCAGTTGTCTGAGATTGACTGGTAGATTGCGATCAACCATTTGACCAACCTAGCTATAAATAATCACCATTGTCCATGCTAATTTCACTAGTCTAGCATTTAGTTATTACATAGATCTTATCTAAAAGGGATATGGATACAAGTTTGATCTATGGTGGTCTTTTAGGGCTGGTGTAAGAATCACAAAAATCTTTTATCTACATCCAGAGTGAAAGATTGTCAAATGATAATTATGCAAAATGTGGGCCAGTACTATAGAAAATAACTTTAATGTACTTGCACTCTATATTTCATCATTGGATTACCAAAAAATTGCAAAGCTCTGAGCTTATGAGATAAACAGAAATACTGTTGAAGAAAATGGTATCGAAAAACAGTTAAAGTTAAAACTCATTTTCCTGGCACTAAAGCTTCCCCCTCTGTCAAGCTTCCCCCCGTAGTTAATAACCCCTTCTATCATTTACCTGAGTCCAGCAGGTATGTCCCTTGGCGCTGGCTTAGCTCCTCCACACTTCCCTCCCGCCGATGGGGAGACCTAATGCGCATGTGCGCAATGGCCGTTCTCACATTAGGATTTCCCCATAGGAAAAAAATGTTATTCAATGCTTTCCTATGGGGATTCCAGTGATGCTGGAAGTCCTCATGCATAGTGTGAGGACGTCTAGCGTCGTTTAGGCGACCAAAAGCGACCAAAAGTCGCCTATCCACTTGGAAATCTCTCCAGTGGCTGTCTAGCCACTAGAGGAAAAGTAAACCCTAGCAGGTAATGATGCAATTTATAAAAAAATACAATAATTACATGCTGATGGTTAAGGGTGATGGGAGTTTGCACCCAAACTGCTTTAATGAGCTTTAGTGGTCTGGGTGCCTAGTGTCCCTTTAAAAAAATCCAGGGCAGCAAAGCTGATTGAATGATTTTCAAGGTTTCCAGTTTCCTCTATTTAGATTTATTGCATTCACTTATACCTTAATAAACAATTCCCATAGGCAGTTTAACATTTGTGTCATAGTGAATTAGGTTACAGTTGTGCTCAAAAGTTTGCATACCTTAGGATAATTGGTAATATATGTACCAGTTTTAAAGAAAACATGAGTGAAAAGGCAAAACAGATTTCTTTTATTTCTTATGAGATTCATATTCAACTGTAGGTTATAACAGAATGGCACAATCATAAAACAAAACATGGCAACAAAGAAAAAAGTGAAATGATCCCTGTTCAAAAGTTGGCATACCTTTAGTTCTTAATACTGTGTATTGCACTGTTTCACATCAATGACAACGTGCAGTCTTTTGTAATAGTTGTCTATGAGGCCCCTAATCCTTGCAGGTGGTATAGCTGCCCATTCATCTTGTCAACATGCCTCCAGGTCATGCAAAGTCTTTTGTCATCCTGCATGAACCACACGTTTGAGATCTACCCACACTGGCTCAATGATATTAAGGTCAGGAGACTGTGATGGCCACTCCAGAACCTTCACCTTTTACTGCTGTTACCATCAACATAGGCCTTGTAGACCCCTCTCCAAACATACCACTTACGGTTGTGACCATAAAGCTCTCCAAATTACAGCGTGCCAGAAGCTGTGAGGCGTATCAAGGCATATTGTAACCGGGCTTTTTTGTGTGGCATTGGCGCAGTAAAGGCTTTTTTCTGACAACTCAACCATGCAGCTCATTTTTGTACAAGCAGTCGTATTGTGCTCCTTGAAACAACCATACCGTTTTTTTCCAGATTTGATATCCTTTTCTATCTTTATAAAGTTCCATTACCTTGTTATGCAGGTCTTTTGACAGCTTGTTTCTGCTCCGCATGGCTGAGTATCAAGCCTGCTCAGTGAATCCATGATCCAGAGCTAACAATAGTCTAATTCATTGACTATTTATACACAGTCACCAATTGCAATTTAAAAAGCCACAGGTGTGGGAAATTAACCTTTAACTTCCTTTTTAACCTGTGTGTGTCACCTTGTGTGTCTGTAACAAGGCCAAACATTCAAAGGTATGTAAACTTTTGATCAGGGCTTCATATGATCACTATCCTTCAATAAAAGACATTTTTAGCATGATCCGTCATATTTTCAAAATCAGTGTCAACATTTCTGCCAAGATATGCAAACTTTTGAGCACTACTGTATATTGTTTCTTTCTGTCTCAGTCTAAATGCTGGTACGCAAATTGTGAGAATTTAAATGCAATGGTATCATCATGGTTCATTAGTTCCACAAATTGTACGTAGTCATACCTTGTACTGAATGCTTGATTGCCTGTGTTGTAGATGAAGAAGAGGAAGAAAACACAAAACGAAGGGTAGTAAAGAAGAAATCATCCCAGAGGAAGGCTATCAGCGATGATGACAATAGTGATGAAGATTGCCCTATAGGAAACAGAAAAGCAAGACATAGGTCTAAAGTAAGACGCAAAGCCAGTGATGATGAAGATGATGATGATAAAGATGATGATGATGCACATGACACCAAAAAGACAGGTTATAGAGGCAGAGGCAGGACCCCAGGCAAGAAGCAAAATGAGGAACAAAATAGTAAAAAGAACACGGAAAAAAAGGGTGATCAGCGGACAGATGGCAAAAAGAAGAGGAATAGCAGGTATTGTTGTTGTTTGCTATAACTGGACATATGTAGACTGCTATCTGATTATACTAGTTAATGCTAGCAGTCATGCTAGTCTATCTTCTAAACTCTGAAATTCCCAACTGACTTTTAATGGAAAGGTAGTTGAAAAACAAAATGTATTTTTGATCTGTTTAAAATAGTTTCTTGAAGCTAGTTTATAATACTCTGTTTACTACCAGATGGACACTGAAATTTGTTTATCAAGTTTACGGATTTCAATAAAAAGCCACAATCTGTTTTGAACTAACATTCAGAGCACTCTTTATAATAATAAAATCAGGGGGATTCTGCAAAATGAGAGGTCATGCCACTGCTTCCTCATTCTCCACATGCTTCTAGTATGACAACTTAGAAATAAATGAGCAAGGGTCTCCCAGAACCTTTACTAAGGAGGGGTCCTATTGAATGGTACATAATATTGCAATACTTTTCATTTTATATGTAGGGAAATTATGAATGAGAGGGTCCACCATATCTGGGTCATTAAAAGGAACCCTCCACTGGCCTATTACAAAATACATAAAAGTCACAGTTAATAATACACCACTGCCCCCAAATCTAATCTCTGTTTTCTTAATATCTGAGTAGTATTTCAAACATGTGCTAAAAGAAAAAGAGTACAAATGATGAGAAGACTATAATTGGATGTGGTAGAGTGATGCAGACAGCTCAGCTCACACTGATCTTTCATATTGAGTACGGTGATGTACGAAGAATACATGTAATGTCTACATCATACATTGCATGTATACGGTAATTACATATATGAATATATGTAATGGTCTAGGGGGGGTGCAACTGAATACAGTTTCAAAAACTTTTAAAGCTTTGTTAACAAAACTAAAGAGATTTGAATATGAAGAAGAAAATACAGCATTGATATGAGGCCAGAATCACTCAAATTACTTAAATTGTGTTGGCCAAATTGCCCCAAATATGTCACATTAAGTGACAACTAATTAATGGTAAGTTTTACATTTATTCTTAATTAGTGGTCACTTAATGTAATGGTGATTGGACATTCCTCAGAGACTTTAGGCTCAACTAATACCAGGGAGATCTGACACCTCCCCCCGCCACCAAATAAAGCTGAATAAGTACTTTGTATTCATTGGCACCAGCAGGACTGGGCACCCACTTGGAATTTGACTTAAGTGATTATAGACACCTTTGATGTAGGTGCTTGATCTCCCTTGGCATTGCACTTGGTAAGCCTAGTGAATGGGAAGATTTTGAACCTCCTAGACTATTTCACTGCCATATTTCACAGTACAGGAGATTAGGAAAGGAAAGGAGTGGGACAGACATTTCTTTTGAACGTAACCATCACCAAGCTTCTTATAGATTGTGGGAACTTTTCTTCAGAATAGAATAGAATCACTGGACTTCATGAACTCATTTCTAATGTTATTGTCACTTTTTAATAGCAAGCCGCTACTCGCTGAAGTGTTTCTACTGTTAGTGATTAGCAGTTGTTTACAGCTGCAAAATGCCACCAGCAGCAAAAAGGAGTTAATGGCCAGCACCCTTTGAAGCTAGGTTGGCATACTCCATTGTTGTGGGGCCTGCTCTTAATAATCATCACCGGTAACACAAGTTGAGTCACTGTCAATTCCTTCCAAGGGTCTACCCACCCTGCTTGATCATTCACCTCAAAATGTTGAGAGTATTAGCAATTGTTATGCACAAATACCTATTTCACATAATATTTTGCATAATCAAAATGCAGTTTTCAATGTGTGCTCATTTATACTTCCGAAAAGGAACCCATACTGTTCAAATGCATGTACGTTTCATGAAGGACTTGTACTATTGAATATAAAAGTCATATTTCTACTTCAAAACAACATACTTTATAATTTAAAATGTGGTACAAAGCAGTAATTACCTCAAAACACAAAGAGTGTGTTTCTATGTTTGTTACAATTATTTCTGACCAGTCAATAATTACTTAAAATTGTTGTCAGTAATATTAGCAATTACCAGCGGTTTCCATTCTAAATTAAATACTGGCAATTAGTGGCTGCCCAAAAATGTAACATCTCTCTTGGCAATTGATAGAAGCTAAATGTTAAGTAACTAGACAGTAAAAATTACCACATGTCACTATGGGATTAAAAATGTCATGTACGTAAAAAGGGACAGACAAGTTGACTACTGCAGACATTCAGTACAGTATATATATATATATATACAGTGCCTTGCAAAAGTATTCACCCCCCTTGGTATTTTTCGGTTTTCAAAACCTGTAATTAATATGGATTGTTTGAGGATTTGCATCATTTAATTTACAGAACATGCCCACAACTTTGAAGATTCATTTTTTTTTTTTTTATTGTGAAGCAAACAACAAATAGGACAAAATAACAGAAAAAGACAATCTGCATAACTATTCACCCCCCTAAAGTCAATACTTTGTAGAGCCACCTTTTGCGGAAATCACAGCTCTAAGTCGCTTTGGATAAGTCTCTATGAGCTTGCCACATCTTACCACTGGTATTTTTGCCCATTCCTCCTTGCAAAACTGCTCCAGCTGGATGGTTTGCACTTGTGAACAGCAAGTCTGACCACAGGTTTTCTATTGGATTGAGATCTGGGCTTTGACTAGGCCATTCCAACACATTTACATGTTTCCCCTTAAACCACTCAAGTGTTGCTTTTGGCAGTGTGTTTGGGGTGAACCTCCGTCCTAGCCTCAAATCACGCACAGAGTGGTACAGGTTTTGCTCAAGAATATCCCTGTATTTAGCACCATCCATATTTCCCTCAACTCTGACCAGTTTCCCAGTCCCGGCTGCTCATTTGGGTGATCTGATGTGTTGGGTTTGCACCAGACATAGCATTTTCTTTGATGGCCGAAAAGTTCAATTTTAGTCTCATCAGACCAGAGCACCTTCCTCCATACATTTTGGGAGTCTCCCACATGCCTTTTCGCAAACTCAAAACGTGCCATTTTGTTTTTTGCTGAAAGTAATGGCTTTCTTCTGGCCACTCTGCCATAAAGCCCAACTCTATGGAGCGTACGGCTTATTGTCGTCCTATGTACAGATACTCCAGTCTCTGCTGTGGAACTCTGCAGCTCCTCCAGGGTGACCTTAGGTCTCTGTGCTTCCTCTCTGATTAATTCTCTCCTTGCCCGGTCTGTGAGTTTTGGTGGGCGGCCATCTCTTGGCAGGTTTGCTGTTGTGCCACGTTCTTTCCATTTGGTTATGATAGATTTGATGGTGCTCCTGGGGATCATTAAAGATTTGGATATTTTTTTATAACCTAACTCTGACTTGTACTTCTCAACAACATTGTCCCTTACTTGTTTGGAGAGTTCCTTGGTCTTCATGGCAGTGTTTGGTTAGTGGTGCATCTTGCTTAGGTGTTGCAGCCTCTTTCAAAAAAAGTGTGTATATGTATGTATATGTGTGTATATGTATGTATATGTATATGACAGATCATGTGACACTTAGATTGCTTACAGGTGGATATCATTTCACTAATTATGTGACTTCTGAAGGTAATTGGTTGCACCAGAGCTTTTTATGGGCTTCATAACAAAGGGGGTGAATACATACGCAGATGTAAATTTTCTGTTTTCTATTTCTAAAAAATAGTTTTATGTTTATATTTTTCTCATTTCACTTCACCAACTTAGACTATTGTGTTCTGATCCATCACATAAAGTTCAGATTAACAAAACATTGAACTTAAGGCTGTAATTTAACAAAATAGGTAAAAAGTCAAGGGGGGTGAATACTTTTGCAAAGCACTGTATATATATATATATATATATATAAATATATATATATATATATATATATATATATATAAAATATCATTTATTAAGTACATTAAAGTGATTGAAGGTGATTGAAACTGAGCAAGTTAGGTATGTGCAAGCACTGAGGGCAAATTGTTCAGATGATTGCAAATGTAGTACGCTTACACTGTACAAACCTTTTGTACTGTCCTTTAGGAGTTGCTATGGCAATTATTTGTCAGTTTTGTAGAATAATAAATGCTAAAAGGGGGATTAATATCAATGGAAGCAGGCGTGATATTAAAAGCAGGGGTGGAAACATGTCTGCTAGTACTAACAATGTTTAATATGTACTTTTTATAATGAAACATAGATATCTCTTTTTATTTTAGACATGATTTGATAAAGTATTTGATAAAGCAACATTTTATTAAGATAATTTGATGATTATTATTGTAAACTGTAGTGTATATAATATTCAAAATGACAAAAAAGTATTGTTTATCATATACAGCAATGTTAAAATAAGGTGGGAATTGCCTCCATTTTTAAATGTATGATATAGATACTGCATTAGAATGGATAAAATAGTAAAAGAAAAGAAAAATACTTGTAGAAACCTGTACATTGTAAGGTGGGGGCATGTCATTCCACAGGTTGAATGGAACTGTTACTGCAAAGGAAAAAGTAAAACTATAAAGTAAAAACCTCTTCCTTTTGAATATCTGCTGCATGGGGGGCAGACTTATACATTGAATGCAGTTAAAGGAGCACAGAAGCACCATAACAACATGCTATATACTGTAATGCACACAAAATTCTGTTGCTATTAATTAGAATTGGTGCAATACTTAACACTCTTATACATTTTAATGTTCTAGACTCCAATTTTCACTTGTAATTTACTTTTTACTGTCTATAGGCCTACGTGTTTGTGTATAAAATAGACTAGCTAAAATGTTATCATTTAGCATTTTTGCTTTATAGCACAAACAATATCTCTTTAAATGTCAGTCATATGTCTAGTGGCATCAGAACTGGTGCTTAAAGGGACTCTGAGAAGCAGTGCATCTTTAGAGGATCAATAAAGTCACCTATCTCAATCACTTCATCTCAATTAATTAATCTGGGTGCAGTGGTCCTGTAGCCTTTAAAGGTAAAACAGTGCCAATTTGCAAAAAGAAACTTGAAGGGTTAAACACACCTAGTCACTAGAGGAAC